GCATTGGTTGGGACTGGGAAGATAAGCGTCAGTGTTGTGTACATTAATTGTAGATTGGAGTTGAACTAGCCGCTAACCAGGTCAGTGAAGCAACTTATGCAATTGTTGTATGTGATATGTTACATACTGTGTTCCATATAATTGTTACTTTTAATTCCCTTTTACTGGTAGATGTGACTCCAATTTGTACCGTCCAATTAACCTAAATGCTTTGTGCTCCTAGAGATAATAGTGGTTGTCAATTCTCAATGGCCTCTCCTTTCATTTAGTGGCTATTCATAACCTGAAGCAATCCAAGTTTTACAACGGTAGCATGTGAGATGTTGCTCTAATAATTGGACCTAAATTAAATCTGCTTGATGACTCAATAATTAGACCTAAATTATGTGGGAAAATTTTTGGTACCAACACTGAGGGATTAACAGTTGGCATCTATGACTGCTATTGAGATGTTTACAAATTTTTTAGAACAGTATTCTGTCAATAAACCCCTTATGATTAGTGTGAAAAATTGCATTTAACTCTAGAATGAGTATTCTGTACATTAACATCAGGACCACATTATTTCTTCCTGCCTCCCTCACTGGAGCTTGAGTCTGAGGTTGAGCTTGAATATCCCCGGTCTTCTTTTTAGAACATCATTCAGTATTACATAATTTGTTCCATCAGTAATTAGTTTCATTTTCCCTCTAATTGCTGAGATATATTCAGTTGGAGATAAATTTTAAAACCCAAAACTCTGCCAACTAGAGCTTTGGATATGATTTACTCTGTCAATTAGAGCTTTGGATATGATTTTGTGTTCTCCTTCATATTCATTTTACAAATTGTAGGTGCTGTATTATAGCGCTTGTGGATGATTTTAAGATAGAAGTGCTCGTTTGTGGTTAGTTCATTACAACTTCTTTGTGTAATCATTAACATGGCTCTTGTTTTAGCTTGCACTTCCATCTTGAGTGAACAGGTGGCTAACCGCATAGATTGGGGACTTCATTATGTGAGTCTACCATCAATGAGCACGGTATTGGAACATTTACAGCATTCATATCAAGAGAATCATTTACTTCTATTTCTGTATGTTATTGCAGTGCAACTCTACCTAGAGAACCAATGTCCTCTAGTATTACAGGGAGATTGCCTAGCTTGGAGGAGCTAGAGTCCTATGCCCTTGAGCAATGGGAGGTTCTCTCTCTGTCCCTCCCTGTACTTTTCTTATATATTACTTGCAAAGGATGTCACTATTTCCAATGGTTTTGCATCTTATTCTCTATTCCAAGTTATATGGTTTGGACCATCTGCTTCATATTTTATGTTCCTAAGGATAATAGTGTTCTTTCACCTTGGGGTAGACCAGTGTTTCTTGTTGCAACTCATAAGCTCAGCTCAAGCAGAGAGGTTAACGAATTTCAGCTCCTCTATGCTGCGAGTTTTTCAGTGA